AAAAAAAAAAAAAAAAAAAAAAAAAAGAGTTCAAGCAAGGAACAAGAGCCTGAGAGTGAGAAGAAATGAAAATGTAAAACATTATGAAAGTAGAATCAACAAGATTTGGCCAGGAAATTCTCAGCTACGGCACTCTAGGCAGAGGAAGGACTTCAGGAAGATGCTTTGGTGTGTTACTTTGGTAGCTCTGGAGATCACGGACAACTTATTCTCCTACATTATTTTAAAGGGGTAAAAGAAAGATGTGCAGAAGAATAAGTCAACTCAGGTCACTTTGAACTGAAGGTGCATATAAGACAGAAAATAGAAACCATAACCGCATATCCATCTCCAGCTGGGCTGGAGATGAAGACCTAATACTTTGTAATAGTATCTGAAGCCAGGGAGTGGATGCTATTACTGAGGAACCCAGAGAAGGTGAGAAAGGGGCCCGGGGCAGAAACCTGAGTGACACCCGCCCCCATTTCAGAATCAGGCCATCGGAGAGTGAGGACGGTCTGCGCAAGGCAGGCGCACCCAGGACAGGGGCCCACGAGCTGAGAGGAGAGACGGTTTCACACAGAAGCAGCAGGACGATCGGGTCAGCGAGCTTTGGGAAGGCTGAAAATATTCCACTGCATTCAGCAATTTCGACGTTATCGGAATCCTTTGCGGGGCGGGTATCGGTTTCCTCAGAGCAGGGGAAGCCGAAAGGAAACAGGGATCCCAGTCTGGGAGCGCGCGGCGGACTCGACACACAGCCTTCCGACGCCCAGTCAGGCAATTCCGCCCCCGAACGCAAACCCCATCACACACACCCCAGCTGCCCCACAAGTTCCAGGACTTCGGAGACCCGCGGGTGCTTTACCCCCTCAGCTTAGGGCTCGCCCCTGCCCCCGCGCCAGCTAGCTTCCAAACCCTCAGACACACGGACAAACGACCTCGCCTCGAAAACCCTCCCTGGCCTCACAGGAAAAATTCAAGCACTTCATTGTGTGTTCCCAAAGCTTTGTCCATACCTTACAAGGTTTTGTATTATCTGTTGTGCACCTGGCTCGAAACAAAAAGCGAGCCAGACCAAAAAGTCAAGGAACGCAGAATGAGAGTCGAGGGAGGAGACGCCCTCACAGGCAAACTTCTGATAGGGGAGATTAAAAACTACGACTCCCATGAGGCTGTGCGGCACCGGGACCCGACTCCCAGCGCCCTCTGCGAGGTTCAAGAGAGTCTAGGTGGTAGACGCGTCGTGTCGGCGCAAAACGGCCGCTAAAGCCGTGCAGAACTGGCCGTGCGGGATGGCAGCCTCTGAGGAGGAGCCTGAGGCCTTGACGGAGCAGCTGGACGTCGCGCGCCGCCTGGAAAATTTGCCTGTGAGCGCGTGGCCCCCAGGGACAGAGCCAGAGCCCTTTCAGGTAGGGGGCGGGGCTCGGCCAGCCCAAGAACTGCGCGCGACCCCGGAGGGCGTGGCCGGTACCCTTTTCTATGGAGGCGGGGCTAGGCGGTCACGAGCGCTGCGCGCGCAGCCCGGGGATAGGGCTGGCGCCCTTCTAGGTAGACTAACGGGGTAAGTGGTAGCTGGGCTCAGTTCTCAATTACCCTACGTGGTAGTGCTTCGATTGTTGTCTCCAAGTTTCTAGACCTTCTTTTTTTTAACCCGATCGCACAGCTATCTGCTAGCGGGAAAAGCTCTTAAATAGCTCACAGGTTTCGGTCTTTTCCCATTAACCCTTCGCAATGACCTTTACATGGTCTTTTCTGCCCATAGATTGGCAGTTCCCTGAAGGCAAAACCAGAGGTCTCGTGAGGTCCCTTGGAAAGACCCGTGAGAACCTGGCTTTTTGATTCTGTCCCCAGAACTCGTTGAGATCCGGGGCAAATCAGTTGCCTCTCTGGTCTCAAATGTCTTGTTTGTAAGATAAGGCATGGGGCCCAGTAACGGATCTTAGCCTAGTGTCATGATTAAAAACTTAGCCTCTAGAGTCATTTAGTTGAGGTTTCCCTCATGCTTTGAGCACTTTGGCAAATATAAATCGCCTCAGCTAAGCCTTAAGAGTCCTCCCGTGTGCGATTAAAACAGTAATACCTGTCTCCGGATTGCTTCGAGAATTACAAGTAAAATACAGTTCCTGGTTTGCTGACAGAACTCAATAAATGTTAACTACTATTATTACCTCAAAGACCTTTGTGCTCCAACCTTCTCACCCCTTTGACCTTGGCCTGCATGTTGCCTAAGGAACAAGGAATGACAAAACAAAAAACAGAAACAAGGATGTTGGTTGGAGTGGAAAGAGCCCTGGACTTGGAAGTAAGAGAGCTAGGTTCAGGGCTTAGCACTCTTAGCCATGTCTCAGAGCCTGAGTTTCTTCATCTGCAAAATGAAAATAATTAAAGTTTTAGTGCCCTTGTCACACCCATTATTGATATCAAACCCTGTCTGTCCTTCCTAGGGTTATTTTGAGAATCAAGTAAGAGGACAGATTCAGCAGCAGTTTTCAAAGAGTAGAGCAGGCTATTAATGTTAGAAATGGTTAGTTTTCCTCAAACTACATTAGGCAGTTTATCATTAATAATACAGGTGGCTAGCGCCATACTGAACACGGAACCCTAAAAGCTTATTGAAGACCAAACATTGCTGAATGCCTGGTCTAAAACACTGACATATGTTCTCTTTCTTCAAAAAATAATTGAGTGCCTATAATATGCCTGGCACTGTGTTAAGCTAGGCATAGAAGATAAGATGGTGCCAATACAATTACTGCCCTTGAGCTTACAAGAGCATATGGAAAGCACTATATGGGGGGCAGAGGAAGCCTTGTGATTGATCCTTATACCTATAGTTGATGGGCATAAATGAAAATCAGGAGACTAAGACTCAATCCCACAGTGTTCTAGCTTCCTGGCTGTATGCACAGCTCTAGGTAGACTTAGAGTTACAAATAGAAGACAGGATCCCTTCCTTAAGGAGCTTATAGTCTTACCAAGAAGATAAAACGTGCTTGAAACATGTAAATAACAAGCCTAAAAGGGCCTTCAACTAGTTTGCTTCCATATATTCATGGAGCACAATACCAGTCTTACAAAAGGTCAAAACAGCTTGCTTGCCCCAAACCCTGCCTTCACAGGCATGTGCACACATAAGAATTAAGGCATGAAAAACTCGGAGTAAAAATAACTTTGTGTCTAGTTTGCCTTTGGGTCCTGTATGAAAAGGCAAAAAGAACATTCAAATGTTCGGATCGGAAACAAGCACATCATAATGCCATCAGGGTCAAAAGACAAGTAGAAAATAAACCGATTGATTTTCTTGAACTAAGAGTTGGATCTAGCCATTTTTCAGGTTTCTGAAACCAGCTTCAAATATCCTTTTTAAGGTCTCAACATGACCCTGACAAGAATTGTCTGGCTCACAGTCTCCTAATAGCTGCTTGAAGCAAAAACAAACTCATGCGGCTAGAGGCCAAGTACAGAGATTCTTGTAGCTGGTGTTTCAAAACAACCAAAAATGGAATGAAGATTTCCCCAGCACTTCCTTAAAATTCAGAATTGAGGCCTAGATTTTAAGCCCAGAATATTGTGCAGTGTCATATTTCAGTTTCTGGGGTTTTGGTACAGAATGTGACTCAGAAAAGTTAGTCTTCCAATCAAAAATTATTAAGAGCTTCAATTAAGCAATCAAATAATATTTCCTGAGCCCCCTGCTCTGTGCCTAGTACTATGGATAGGAACCCAACCCCTATCACCATTCCATACCCCAAACCTCCTGACCATGCCTTTCCTTAAGACATTTGTTAGAAAGGTCAGACCTACACACTTAGAGCCCAACAGTCTATGCCATTTAGATCCCAAAGTTCACACTATTAATAAGTGCAGGTCTACTTCAGATAAGGGAGAAATTAATTGTAGCCGAGGAGGTACAGTATAATTGCACTTTAACATGCTGTCTTCTGTTTACATTTTGGCTTCTTGGGTGACCATAGTTTATAAAAAAATTCTCAAGTTTTCTGTCACAAAATGTGAAGTCTCCATCCAGTTCTTCAAAGATCTGGTTTCTAGTGCATTTTGCACCGATCATTTTGTATTTATTCTCAACTCTTACATGATCCATTTTGCACTTTGATACATACCAGGAAAAAGTAAAGCTTTTGTTATGACTACTGAAAAAATGATAAAAATCCCATTCTTCATGTCCTCCTTTGTATTTTTCTGAGTGGTTCTTTCTAAATCTCAGTATGTGCATACAATACACAGTAAGGTAATATTTACTGATGGTTGAAAGCTGTCTGTGCTGGGTCAACTCTCCGTTTCCCCCCATCAAGAAGGATAAATAATGGAGGTAGGACTATAATCATATGGTTTTCCAAACATAATTTTGGTTTGAGTATGTTTAAACCTGAGAAGTTTAACTCCAAACCTATTTTTTTCACCACCCTACTAGATAGCCTGCATAATTCATATTGAACACTTAATGTGCCAGCCACTAGAGAAAGCTTTTTACGTGGTTTCTCACATTTATTTCCTTCACAGAAACCTGTAAGAGAAATAGAAAGGGAATGTTAGAGAGCTTAAGTAATGTGCCAGAAATATATGACGTTTTAAATATAAAATCTCGAAATAATATCTAGAAGAATTTAAGAAAGTTACTATTTTAAAAGTACAGAGTGGCCCACACAGAGTATAGTGTTATGTTCATTAAATTTCTTGAGAACCTTTCCCGCCTCAGATATAGGTAGTGTCCCTCTTTTATAGTTGCCAACGCATACTTTAGCAAGTCACTCGCTGTAAGGTCACAGTGCTAATAAGATCCTAGTCCTGTATGTGTCTCCTCTAGGACATTCCATGTTCTGCATTAAGACGTTCTCCACTGCTTGCCCAGTGTTCAGGCCACAGTCACAGTTTTCCTGGCTAGCCTCCTTCACGCTTTGCTCCATTCTCAACTCCCGGTTGGAGACCTCATTGCTCATTAGCCGTTTATATCTTTGACTAAATTTTCCAGCCATTTCCTGGAACCATTCTCAGCTTCCACCCTGGGTTTATTAGTCAAGACTCATTTGTTTGCAAGAAACGTAAATACAGCACAAACTAACTCAGGCAAAAAAGGGAAGGAATTTCCTCATATAACAGCAAAGTCTGAGACTGGTAACTGTAGGCATCTCTGGATCCAGGAACTCTCAAGGTGTCATCAGATATTTCTCTCTACCACCTCCCTGCTCCGCACCCCTGCTCCCCTTTCCTGTGGTGGTCCACACACTCAGTAGGTCTTATGTGTGTGGTACAACTTGGGAATGCCTGATGGATACTCTGTAGTTTAGCAAACCCAGTGGAAAAAGAATGCCTTTTCCCTAATTTTTTCAGCAG